GCAATTTGGGTTGATTTGAAAATGTGTACAAAAAGGCATTCCAAAAAAAGAATCCAAGTCTAAATTGAGAAACTTAAAGCTATCAAAGGTTAGAGCTCAATTCATATAAAAAAAATAAGTCTTCAAAAAATAAATCACAGATTGATTTATTCACATACAAAAATAAATTATTATGATGACTATTATTTAATTTATAATAAATTTTGTTTGCTTCATAAGTAATTATTTTTAATGTATTTCATAATCTTATTTTTTTAATTATTTTTAATTTATTTGATAAGATTTTTTATTAAATTTAAAAAGTAAAGAATCATAAATATATTTTCCCTCAATTAATTAATTTTTCTAATTGCATTTGATTTTTAACGTTTAAAATATATAGAAATCAAAAAAATGGAGTAAATTAATTTACCAAAAATCCTAGATTCTTTAAAAATTCCGAATTATTAAAAATTTGTTAAAAATGTTTTTAAAAAAGTATTAAAAAGTAGCCCTCAGAGTGAAATACTTGGAAGGCGAAAAAATAGTAGGCAAAGAGGTTTTTACTGCCTACTGATCTAAAAATACTCCTATTATAACTTCTCTGAAAATTAGCTTTGTGGGGAATTTACTTGATATAAAATGATTATAAATTTTAATTTGGTCTTAGCGATAGACCACATTTTTTCTCTATATATTATAAGCTATTTATTAACTTATAAAAATATGAATTATAAAAATATAAAAAACAATCATTAAATATATATTTTATTAAGGTTAAAAAAACTTTTTCAAAATATTATATTATAAAACATATAATATTCAATTATTCAAACATTTACTATTTATTCATCTTTTTTCACTACTTGTTTATCATCAATCAGAGTTATATTTTAAAGACGACTAATCTTTTTGATTTAAGACACTTACTTTCTACTTTGAATTTTTATTATTCATTCAAATAGTTCTATCTTTTATTATAAATTTGTGTAAATTTTGAATTAAAATTAAATAGAATAAACTTTTAAATTAAAAATTTAAATTAATAAATAAAATAATATTAGTGGAATAAAAAAATAAATTATAAAAAAGCTGTCAAATATTATTGTTTTAGATTAATTTTTGTAATTAAAAATATCACAATCCAAAATAAATAAACTGTTTTTACTAAAGATAAAGTGTCAAATTTGAGAGATTAATGCACTTTGCTAAAGCAGAACCTAAGCCTGATGCACCTGTTGCACAAATTTAATTGGTACTTTTTAAATATTGAAGAAAAAATAAATAATTAATTAGTTATTTAGAAGGAAAAAATATGAAATAATAAGATTAATGAAAAATAAAAGCAAAAGTTAAAAATAAATAAAATGGTGAGCTAAATTAACAAAGAAAGAAGAAATAAAAGCTAGCAAGCATAATAAAAAGAAAAAGAAAATAGATCTTTATTATTTTAAATTCATTTTATAATTAAAAATATCACAATCCAAAATAAATAAACTATTTTTACCTAAGATCAAGTGTCAAATTTGAGAGATTAATGCACTTTGCTAAAGCAAAACCTAAGCCTGATGTACCTTCATCACCAATATAATTTCCACTTTTTAAATATTGAAGAAAAAATAAATAATTAATTAGTTATTTAGAAGGAAAAAATGAAGAAAAAATAAGAAATAATAAGACGAATGAAAAATAAAAGCAAAAGTTAAAAATAAATAAAATGATGAGCTAAATTAACAAAGAAAGAAGAAATAAAAGCAAGCAAGCACAATAAAAAGAAAAAGAAAAATGAGCTTTATTGTTTTAAATTTGTTTTATAATTAAAAATATCACAATTTAAAATAAATAAACTGTTTTTACCGAAGATCAAGTGTCAAATTTGAGAGATTAATGCACTTTGCTAAAGCAGAACCTAAGCCTTATGTACCATCATCACCAATTTAATTGAGACTTTTTTAAATATTGAAGAAAAAATAAATAATTAATTAGTTATTTAGAAGGAAAAAATGAAGAAATAATATGATACAATAAGATTAATGAAAAATAAAAGCAAAAGTTAAAAATAAATAAAATGATGAGCAAAATTAACAAAGAAATATCAAATAAAAGCTAGCAAGAATAATAAAAATAAAAATAAAAATGAGCTCTATTGTTTTAAATTCGTTTTATAATTAAAAATATCACAATTTAAAATAAATAAACTGTTTTTACTAAAGATAAAGTGTCAAATTTGAGAGATTAATGCACTTTGCTAAAGCAGAACCTAAGCCTGATGTACCTTCATCACCAATTTAATTTTGACTTTTTAAATATTGAAGAAAAAATAAATAATTAATTATTTATTTTAAAGGAAAAAATGAAGAAAGAATATGAAATAATAAGATTAATGAAAAATAAAAGCAAAAGTTAAAAATAAATAAAATGATGAACTAAATTAACAAAGAAAGAAGAAATAAAAGCAAGCAAACACAATAAAAAGAAAAAGAAAAAGAAAAATGAGCTTTAATGTTTTAAATTTGTTTTATAATTAAAAATATCACAATTTAAAATAAATAAACTGTTTTTACTTAAGATAAAGTGTCAAATTTGAGAGATTAATGCACTTTGCTAAAGCAAAACCTAAGCCTGATGCACCATCATCACCAATTTAATTGAGACTTTTTAAATATTGAAGAAAAAATAAATAATTAATTAATTATTTATTTAGAAGGAAAAATGAAGAAAGAATATGAAATAATAAGACGAATGAAAAATAAAAGCAAAAGTTAAAAAAAAATAAAATAATGAGCTAAATTAACAAAGAAAGAAGAAATAAAAGCAAGCAAGCACAATAAAAAAAAAGAAAAATTAGCTTTATTGTTTTAAATTCGTTTTATAATAAAAATATCACAATCCAAAATAAATAAGCTGTTTTTACCTAAAATGAAGTGTCAAGTTTGAGAGATTAATGCACTTTGCTAAAGCAGAACCTAAGCCTGATGCACAATCATCACCAATTTAATTTTGACTTTATAAATATTGAAGAAAAAATAAATAATTAATTAGTTATTTAGAAGGAAAAAATGAAGAAAGAATATGAAATAATAAGATTAATGAAAAATAAAAGCAAAAGTTAAAAATAAATAATATAATGAGCTAAATTAACAAAGAAAAAAGAAATAAAAGCTAGCAAGCACATTAAAAAGAAAAAGAAAATAGAGCTTTATTGTTTTAAATTCGTTTTATAATTAAAAATATCACAATCCAAAATAAATAAGCTGTTTTTACCTAAGATCAAGTATCAAGTTTGAGAAATTAATGCACTTTGCTAAAGCATAACCTAAGCCTGATGTACCTTCATCGCCAATTTAATTATGACTTTTTAAATATTGAAGAAAAAATAAATAATTAATTAGTTATTTAGAAGGAAAAAATGAAGAAAGAATATGAAATAATAAGATTAATGAAAAATAAAAGCAAAAGTTAAAAATAAATAATATAATGAGCTAAATTAACAAAGAAAAAAGAAATAAAAGCTAGCAAGCACAATAAAAAGAAAAAGAAAATAGAGCTTTATTATTTTAAATTCTTTTTATAATTAAAAATATCACAATACAAAATAAATAAACAGTTTTTACCTAATATAAAGTGTCAAATTTGAGAGATTAATGCACTTTGCTAAAGCAAAACCTAAGCCTGATGTACCTTCATCACCAATTTAATTTCCACTTTTTAAATATTGAAGAAAAAATAAATAATTAATTAGTTATTTAGAAGGAAAAAATGAAGAAAAAATATGATACAATAAGATTAATGAAAAATAAATAAAATGATGAGCTAAATTAACAAAGAAAGAAGAAATAAAACCTAGCAAGCATAATAAAAAGAAAAAGAAAATTGAGCTTTATTATATAATTTTGTTTTATAATTAAAAATATCAAAATTTAAAAAAAATAAACTGTTTTTACCTAAGATAAAGTGTCAAATTAGAGAGATTAATGCAATTTGCTAAAGCAGAACCTAAGCCTGATGTACCATCATCACCAATTTAATTGGTACTTTTTAAATATTTAAGAAAAAATAAATAATTAATTAATTATTTAGAAGGAAAAAATGAAGAAAAAATAAGAAATAATAAGATTTATGAAAAATAAAAGCAAAAGTTAAAAATAAATAAAATAATGAGCTAAATTAACATAGAAAGAAGAATTAAAAGCTAGCAAGCATAATAAAAATGAAAAAGAAAGTAGAGCTTTATTATTTTAAATTCGTTTTATAATTAAAAATATCACAATTTAAAATAAATAAACTGTTTTTACCCAAGATAAAGTGTCAAATTTGAGAGATTAATGCACTTTGCTAAAGCAGAACCTAAGCCTGATGCACCTGTTGCACCAATTTAATTGTGACTTTTTAAATATTGAAGAAAAAATAAATAATTAATTAGTTATTTAGAAGGAAAAAATATGAAATAATAAGATTAATGAAAAATAAAAGCAAAAGTTAAAAGTAAATAAAATGATGAGCTAAATTAACAAAGAAAGAAGAAATAAAACCTAGCAAGCATAATAAAAAGAAAAGGAAAATAGAGCTTTATTATTTTAAATTCGTTTTATAATTAAAAATATCACAATTTAAAATAAATAAATTATTTTTACCCAAGCTAAAGTGTCAAATTTGAGAGATTAATGCACTTTGCTAAAGCAGAACCTAAGCCTGATGCACCTATTGAACCAATTTAATTGGTACTTTTTAAATATTAAAGAAAAAATAAATAATTAATTAGTTATTTAGAAGGAAAAAATGAAGAAAAAATATGAAATAATAAGATTAATGAAAAATAAAAGCAAAAGTTAAAAATAAATAAAATGATGAGCTAAATTAACAAAGAAAGAAGAAATAAAAGTAAACAAGCACAATAAAAAGAAAAAGAAAAGTGAACTTTATTGTTTTAAATTCGTTTTATAATTAAAAATATCACAATCCAAAATAAATAAACTGTTTTTACCTAAGATCAAGTGTCAAGTTTGAGAGATTAATGCACTTTTCTAAAGCAGAACCTAAGCCTGATGCACCATCATCACCAATTTAATTTTGACTTTTTAAAAATTGAAAAAAAAATAAATAATTAATTAGTTATTTAGAAGGAAAAAATGAAGAAAAAATATGAAATAATAAGATTAATGAAAAATAAAAGCAAAAGTTAAAAATAAATAAATAAAATGATGAGCTAAATTAACAAAGAAAGAAGAAATAAAAGTAAGCAAGCACAATAAAAAGAAAAAGAAAAATGAGCTTTATTGTTTTAAATTAGTTTTATAATTAAAAATATCACAGTTTAAAATAAATAAACTGTTTTTACCTAAGATTAAGTGTCAAATTTGAGAGATTATTGCACTTTGCTAAAACAGAACCTAAGCCTGATGCACCTTTTGCACCAATTTATTTGTATCTTTTTATTGTAAAAAAATATATAATTTATTAGTTAATTAGAAGGAAAAAATATGATTAATTTAATTAATAATTAGTTAAACTAATAAATAAGAAAAAAAATTAAGCAAGCACAATAAAAAGAAAACGAAAAAGAAATCAAATAAATTAAAAGAGCTTTAATGTTTTAAATTAATTTTTTTTATTAAAAATATTACAATCAAAAATAAAAAAATTGTTTTTATTAAGTGTAAGTGTTAATAGCAAAAAATGAAGAAAAAATATCAAATAATAAAAAATGAATAATAAATAATTAAAAATTGAAATCAAAATTAAGTTGAAATAGCGAAAATTTTTGTATAAATAGAATACAATGAATAGTGGTAAGAATTTCTATTATAAAAATTATTTTTTTAAATAAATTTAAAGTTAAAATAAAAAATTTTTTAATATTTTTATTTAAATATACTTTAGATCAATATGGAGAACCTAATGAGATTAAAGTGAAGAGTTTAAAAACTTTTTTATTAATAAAAAAAATTTAAATGATATTAATAAATAAATAAATAATTACTTCTTCTAATTTGTTGTATTATTTAATCTATTACATTATTTTTTTTTTTTTTCAAAAATATTGAGTAGTAATTTATTGAATTTAATTAATTAATAAATATAGTAATTATCAAATATTAATTTATAAATTTGCTTTAATGAAGAGATATCACAAAAAAATAAAATTAATATACATTATTAAATCTTAATATTATTATTTAAAACATTTACTTAAAAATATAGTAGGCATTAGAGATGGGCAGTTAGTCATATTTGAAAAAATTCTAGTAATTAATTAATTTCCTTAAATTTAATAAAAATAATGTTAAACAGTAGATTTTTATCTTTTATCTAAGTAATGATGGGAATAATTATAATAAAATTCATAGAGTGAAGATAGGTAATCTATTTATATGCTCATATCCTAGATATTATTTTTAAATAACCATTTTCTAATAGTTTACCCTGTTTTTTTTGAGTTTAAAAATTTTTTATAACATTTATAAATGATTTTATGTAAAATGATAATAAATATTAATATGGTCTTAGGCTCTAGACCACCTTTTTCTCTATATATTATAAGATATTTATTAACTTATAAAAATATGAATTATAAAAATATAAAAAGCAAACATTAAATCTATCTTTTATTAAGGTTAAAAAAACTATGTCAAAATATAATATTATAAAACATATAATATTCAATTATTTAAACATTTAATATTTATTCATCTTTTTTCACTACTTATTTAACATCAGAGATATATTTTAAAGAAGACTAATCTTTTTGATTTAAGACACTTACTTTCTACTTTGAATTTTTATTATTCATTCAATTAGTTTTATCTTTTATTATAAATTTGAGTAAAATTTGAATTAACATTAAATAGAATAAACTTTTAAATTAAAAATTTAAATTAATAAATAAAATAATATTACTGGAATAAAAAAATTAAAAAAATAAATCATAAAAAATCTATCAAATAAATTAAAAGATATTTATTGTTTTAGATTAATTTTTGTAATTAAAAATATCACAATCCAAAATAAATAAACTGTTTTTACTAAAGATCAAGTGTCAAATTTGAGAGATTAATGCACTTTGCTAAAGCAGAACCTAAGTCTGATGCACCTGTTGCACCAATTTAATTGACACTGTTTAAATATTGAAGAAAAAATAAATAAATAATTAATTAGTTATTTAGAAGGAAAAAATGAAGAAAAAATAAGAAATAATAAGATTAATGAAAAATAAAAGCGAAAGTTAAAAATAAATAAATAAAATGATGAACTAAATTAACAAAGAAAGAAGAAATAAAAGCAAGCACGCATAATAAAAAGAAAAAGAAAATAGAACTTTATTATTTTAAATTAGTTTTATAATTAATACTTTCACAATCAAAAATAAATTAACTGTTTTTACCGAAGATCAAGTGTTAAATTTGAGAGATTAATGCACTCTTCTAAAGCAGAACCTAAGTCTGATGCACCTGTTGCACCAATTTAATTGTGACTTTTTAAATATTGAAGAAAAAATAAATAAATAATTAATTAGTTATTTAGAAGGAAAAAATGAAGAAAAAATATGAAATAATAAGATAAATGAAAAATAAAAGCAAAAGTTAAAAATAAATAAAATGATGAGCTAACTTAACAAAGAAAGAAGAAATAAAAGCAAGCACGCATAATAAAAAGAAAAAGAAAATAGAACTTTATTATTTTAAATTAGTTTTATAATTAATACTTTCACAATCAAAAATAAATTAACTGTTTTTACCTAAGATTAAGTGTCAAATTTGAGAGATTAATGCACTTTGCTAAAGCAGAACCTAAACCTGATGCACCTGTTGTACCAATTTAATTTCCACTTTTTAAATATTGAAGAAAAAATAAATAAATAATTAATTAGTTATTTAGAAGGAAAAAATGAAGAAAAAATATGAAATAATAAAATTAATGAAAAATAAAAGCAAAAGTTAAAAATAAATAAAATGATGAGCTAACTTAACAAAGAAAGAAGAAATAAAAGCAAGCACGCATAATAAAAAGAAAAAGAAAATAGAACTTTATTATTTTAAATTAGTTTTATAATTAATACTTTCACAATCAAAAATAAATTAACTGTTTTTACCGAAGATCAAGTGTTAAATTTGAGAGATTAATGCACTCTTCTAAAGCAGAACCTAAGTCTGATGCACCTGTTGCACCAATTTAATTGACACTTTTTAAATATTGAAGAAAAAATAAATAATTAATTAGTTATTTAGAAGGAAAAAATGAAGAAAAAATATGAAATAATAAAATTAATGAAAAATAAAAGCAAAAGTTAAAAATAAATAAATAAATAAAATGATGAACTAAATTAACAAAGAAAGAAGAAATAAAAGCTAGCAAGCATAATAAAAAGAAAAAGAAAATAGAACTTTATTATTTTAAATTAGTTTTATAATTAATACTTTCACAATCAAAAATAAATTAACTGTTTTTACCGAAGATCAAGTGTTAAATTTGAGAGATTAATGCACTTTGCTAAAGCAGAACCTAAGCCTGATGCACCTGTTGCACCAATTTAATTGTGACTTTTTAAATATTGAAGAAAAAATAAATAAATAATTAATTAGTTATTTAGAAGGAAAAAATGAAGAAAAAATATGAAATAATAAG